TAAAATATGTAATTTCTAATTAATTTTGGTCAAAATTTTTTTTACATATATCAAAAGTGCAGTTTTCAAAAAAAATAAAAAAAACAGTGTATTTTACTAATTCAAAAACCTAAATAGTGTATTTTGCCAATTATCCCAAAAATTAAAAGAGCATTTATGGATTTTTTTAGTTATCTACGAATCAGATTTGGTGAAAATGAACATGAACCCGGCAGATTGAATGATCAGTCTTTACATTCGAATCAGCTCGTTTCATAGAATCATATTCATAGAGAGGTTTTTGAAGACTTTAGTTTACCTTTAATTTTGTAAGAAGTAAATTTAGAGGAGACAAATATTGCAATGAAGAAAACGATTTGAGATACAGAAAAACGTTTTATAAAAGCGGATTAAGGAAAAAACGAGAAGTGGAGGCGAGATGATCTCTTTCCTTAATTCAAAATATCTCCCGCAGTGTGGCGGTTGGATGAGATAATGAATCCCATGATACAACCACTAGTATTCGTATAATCGCAGCACCCGATTATAGAATGTGACGAACTGATATTCTAGGATATACTCTCGGACACTTACTCTTGAAAGAAGAAAAGAGACGCGAGAGATTTGAAGGAAAATGTGAATATTTTTTCTCTGTAAATTTTCTGTAGAGAGCGATTCTCATTGGAAGAGGAGAAGTCGATATATATAGCGAAGGAGAGAGGGGCGTCGCACTTAATCAGCGTGTTAATGACGTGATTAATTTTGCGCTAATGACGCGATTTGGGCGTTAATCTTGGCGTGATTTTCGGGATAGACATTTGACTGCAGTTTAATGTCGTGATTCTGTTAAGAATTTGAACCGAAAACTTTAGCAATTTGGGCCAGAAATGTTGACCAAAACGTGGCCCAAAAAGAACATCTTTTGTGGGCCTTCGGCCCACAAGACCCAAGACCCAAGCCCGGCTCGGCTCGGCGGCGGCGGCGGCGCGCGAGGGGTCCTTGGTTCTCCTTCACACACTTTGAACTATGTCATGTGTGTGTCTATATTTATATGACTCTAAATTTTTCCAATCCTTGGATGTGGGACAAAATGAAGTTCCTCACATTTTAAGTTGCCTTGAAGGGCTTTATTTTTATTCACACTTGACCAAATTTTAAAGCCTTTGGGCTTTGTAATAATTTGGGTCCAACAATCCCCCACATGAATAGAAATAACTCTAGACATACGACCGGACTGACTCGAAGACTGGACTCGACTAGACTAGACTAGACAGACTTTCGAGAGTATAAACGAAAATTCCACTGTGTTTGAGATAGTAGTATGTTTCAACCTTGAACCACTCAATGTTAATATCTGTCTGGCTTACTCAGCTAGGAGGTGAACATGATGTCTTGAACCACCCGGATTTTGATGTAAACCGAGACAACAAATACAACTCAGTTTCATTTTCTCGTAGAACAAAGTTCTCTATTGTGTTCATTTTGGCCTTGAACTTGCCTGGTTAATCATGAGTGAAGTTGGAAAATATAGCCTGTTGTTTTTTCATTCTCCTAGAAACGGCCCCATTTCACACTCACTAGGTGATTTTGCCAGTAGTCTTTGTTTTAAGAAGTGTTGAACTTCACTGATATATCAAAGCTGTGGTCTTATCATTAAAAGCTATGCTTATCCTTTGTAGATATACAATGAAGATTGTATGTAAGCACTGTCAATCATCTTGGGACCTAGGTTAAGACTATACGTCTTTCAGTGCGTTAGATTTTGTTTGATTTTGTTTTCCCTTTTGAACCATACATCTTGGGATCTCCAGTCATGTAGGTGGGGTTTCCATCAAAAAACCTCTTTAGTCATAGGCTTTAAACCCATTCCCTTTGACGATTTGAGAACTTGATCACGAGCTAGACCCTTAGTGAATGGATCTGCTAGATTATCAGCTGATTTTATGTAATCTAGTGAGATTACTCCGGTTGTGATCAAGCTTCTAATGGTTTTATGTCGCCTTTTTATGTGACGAGATTTACCATTATAGAGATTATTCAGTGCCCGAGCGATAGCTGATTGACTATCACAGTGTACACGTATTGCCGGGACTGGTTTCTCCCACATTGGAATATCTTCCAAGAAATTTTGGAGCCATTCGGCCTCCTCTGCAGCTTTGTCTAAAGCTATAAATTCAGACTCCATGGTTGATCGGGCCAGTAGAGTTTGTTTGGAAGACTTCCAAGAGACTGCTGCACCAGCAAGGGTAAAGACATATCCACTTGTGGATTTCGAGTTTTTGGTGTCAGATATCCAGTTTGCATCACTGTATCCTTCCAAAACTGCGGGTTCTCTCCCATAGTGCAGCCCATAACTTTTAGTGTATCGAATGTAATTTAATACTCTAGTTATGGTTTTCCAGTGTTTGTGTCCTGGATTACTTGTATAGCGACCCGAGACCCAAGACCCAAGACCCGAGCCCGGCTCGGCGGCGCGCGAGGGATCCTTGGTTCTCCTTCACACACTTTGAACTATGTCATATGTGTGTTTATATTTATATGACTCTAAATTTTTCCAATCCTTGGATGTGGGACAAAATGAAGTTCCTCACATTTTAAGTTGCCTTGAAGGGCTTTATTTTTATTCACACTTGACCAAATTTTAAAACCTTTGGGCTTTGTAATAATTTGGGTCCAACAAATTTCACGTATCTCGAATGTATATGCCTTGCAAAAGGGATTCGATAATACAAGATACTTTATTTTCATATATAATTCATAGAATCCGTTTGGTATATTTCATAAAACAACCATCCTACCACAAAAGTTGATTTAATAAATGGGTTTGTTAGACAAACAAAAAAAAAGTTACCTTCAACAATGAATTGTAAAAATGCATACTATTATGTATCATATATACATACGTCTTAAGACCTTGTGTGCGTGTGTATTTATGTATTTTTTTTCTTTTTCAGATATATCTTCACTAAAGCATTCATAAAGGAGCAAAATAAAATGTATATATATGGAAGAAAAAGAAAGACTTTATATTTTGATTAGGGAATAGAAGAAAGCAAAAAAGAGTTTGTTGTGAGAAGAAGAAACAAAGAGATACATTGCATGCAGAGAAAGTTTCCAGTAATAACAATAAGTTGAGAATAGTTGCACTAAAGAAGAACAGAGAAGAACCCTCATAGAGAAAAAAAAGGTGTTGACCCATTGAACAAAATTAAATAGGGATTAAAAAAAGGGGAAGTAAGCAATTTTATAAAATTGGTATATACTAAAGTTGTAATTATTGGAATAAATAGAAAGAAGAAAAAGAGAAGAAAAGAAGAAGAAATGATTGTTTAAGAAAGTAAGAGAAGGAAGTAGTGGGTGTGAGAAGGGATCGTAGTGTCAGAAAAGAAAGAAGGAAGAAGGGGTCACGGGTTTGCCTTGAAAGCCACTTTTTTGCCTTTCTTTTATTTTAATTTCAGACACTCAGACACATATTCCCCTCCATCTTCTCATTAATCGAGGTTGCTAACTTCCAATTATTTTATTATTTATTTATTTTACACATATTTCTTTCTTGCTGTTACATCTCCTTCATTTTTATCAAAATTTTTGAAGAAAACTTTTAGACTTTATAGGCATTTTTTTTCTTTTCTTACAGCCTGATATACTAGTCCAAGAAAAGTTAGTCAAAATAAAAAAAAATAGTCCAAGAAAAGTTTTATTTCTATCTCCACTTTTATGAAATAGTATATGGTTATTGTAATTGTTTGCGATTATCTTACGTTTATATGTTAAGTTAATGATTTTTTTTATTTGAATAGAACATAAAATTTAACGGTTTGATCAGATCTTTTGTGAAAAAATGTATTCATATAGTGAGATATTTTATTCTAGGTCAAACTTTATTTTTATTTACTGGTACGTAGGAGCACATTAGAGTTAATTAGCGAAATAAGGAGAAATAATCTCTTTTAAACAGGTTTTTATATCTTGGAATAAATATACCCAGGATCTAGATTTCATATCTCATTGTCTCCATTGTATGTTTTTGACATGATATCAGAATCATTGAAACAAATAATTTTAGTTATTTTCTTCATGTTTGTTGCTTCGTGGTGTCATGAAGAATACATTAATTTTCTAGTCCAAGAAAATGCAATCGTTTTTCCTAAGTATGGTGCATCAAAGCTAGGACAAATCATTCGCTACTAATTTCTTGGATCCGAAACACTAGACGACCCAACATTTCAGTGAGACATAACTCATTTCAAGTAATTAAGGATTTATTGGATGATATCGCCAAACAATACTTTTGTGTGGTAAACGAGTAGCAAATTCAATTATTGAAAAAATGATATTGCAAACTAAGGAAATGTGAACGTGTCATTTTATTCTAATCGATTAAAGCGGTTGTGGGAAGATATATTTCTGAAATTCCATTTGCCCATCTTAAACATATGCATCTATAACTTTAAAATTATGTTTGATAGAAGGAATATATAGAAGAAAAAAAATCCAACTAGTTAACGTAACCGTAAAGAAAGAGTGCGACATTGTGGTTAAGAAAAATAAAATCTCTCAAGTAAAATCTCTCTCCCACGTATGAGTCAATAAGTCATTCGATTGCCATCCATGATATTTCTTTTCTGAATTAAAGCTTAATCATTTGATGATCATTTACACTTGTTACGCATATAAACATATTTCTGCTTTTTGTTTTTGTTTTTAACAACTACAAATTACATATCTATATTTTCACCTCCAAATCAAATTTTAACCATCATTATGTTTTTTGCGTGGGCATGCAAAAAGCAGATCACGCAGATTTTCCAATTTCATAATATACCAGGAGAATAATATCAAATATCCATTACACATTTACACTATTATAAAATACTGATAAACAAAAAAAGGTCACTAATTAATAGTAAGTTACACATCAGGACAGATACACACGTACGATCTTCAACCTCAAAAAAATAACAAAAAAAATTGGTAGTCACTCACTACTCAGTACTATAGTACCGCCTCAGGCTCCATTTTTATCCAACACCGCACCGATACAAAACAAACACAAATCGTCTCTCTCATTTTCTCTCTCTCTCTGATTCTCTCTCTTTTGTCTCTCTTTAATGGCGATGATGGTGGAGAATAGCTATGGTTACGGTGGTGGAGGCGGCACCGGAGAAAGGATACAGTTGATGGTCGAAGGTCAAGGAAAAGCGGTTCCGGCGCCGTTTCTGACGAAAACTTATCAGCTTGTCGACGATCCAGCGACGGATCATGTTGTTTCTTGGGGAGACGACGACACTACTTTCATCGTTTGGCGTCCACCGGAGTTTGCTCGTGACCTTCTTCCTAATTACTTTAAACACAACAACTTCTCTAGCTTCGTTCGTCAGCTCAATACTTACGTAAGTGAAGAATCAAAATTAAAAAAAAAAAACGATTTAGATTTCTTAAAGAAACGATTTTTATACACTAAAACGATTTGGGTTTCTGAGTTTTTATGGATTTGGGGTTAAAAATATGTTTTTATACTTTGAAATGATTTGGATGTTATGAGTTTTGATTGATTTGTCTTTTTAAAGATACATTTTTTTTTACGAAAACGTTTTGAGTATTTGAGTTTTGATCAATTTGTCATAAAAGATCGAGTTTTTATACCAAAAACGATTTGGGTTTTTCAGTTTTTATAGATTTGAGGATTAAAATAATTATTTTTTATGGGTGCTGGTATTTTAAAAATACAATTTTTATACAGAAAACGATTCATTTATTTGAGTTTTGATCGATTTTGTCATTAAAGATACAGTTTTGATACCAAAAGCGATTTGGGTTTTTGAGTTTTGGTCGATTAGTCTTCAAAATTTTTCATTTTTATACTTTTGAGTTCCTCCGATTTTGTCTTGATTTGATCGATTTGAACTGATTTTTGTGATTAATCCCTCTTTTTGTTTTTAATTCTTAGGGTTTCAGAAAGATTGTTCCAGACAGATGGGAATTTGCGAACGAGTTTTTCAAAAGAGGAGAAAAACATCTACTCTGCGAAATCCACCGGAGAAAAACATCTCAGATGATACCAAACCAACACTCTCCGTTCATCACTCACCATCCTCCGCCGCAGAATCCATTCTCCTCCGGCGGCGCATCTTTCTTCACTTTACCACCGCGTGACGTCTCCGCCGCAATGGACGACCATTACTGGTGCGACTCTTCTCCTCCGCCGAGACCAAGGTCCGTACCAACCACCGTCGACGCTCAAGTCACCGCATTAACCGAAGACAACGAGAGGTTACGACGGAGCAACACCGTTCTAATGTCGGAGCTTGCTCATATGAAGAAACTCTACAACGACATCATCTACTTTGTTCAGAATCATGTCAAGCCTGTTGCTCCGAGCAACTCTTACTTATCTTCTTTCCTACAGAAACAGCAACAACCTCCTCTTCCTCCTCAACCTCTCGATTATTACAACAATGCCACTGTCCCTAACCTCAATGCCTTGAACTCTCCTCCTACTTCTCAAAGCTCCATTACTGTTCTTGAAGATGAGACTAATAATCATGAGAGTAATACGAGAAAGACGAAGCTTTTTGGGGTTTCTTTGCCTTCGTCGAAGAAGAGATCGCATCATTTCTCAGATCAAAGTAGCAAAACTCGACTTGTGTTGGATAAGTCAGATCTTGGATTGAATCTCATGACTGCTCCTACACGTTAAGAGTCTTAATTTTTTGTTTTTTTTTCCTCTCTTTTTGGTTAAGTATGCAGCATTAATGTTGTTTATGATGAATATGAATATGGATTAATAATCTTCTTCTAATTATCATTTTTTTTTCTTCTGTTTCTTGTTTCCTTTTTGTTATTAACATTTGTCTTGTTTTGTTTTTCTGGGCTTGTTGTCTCAAGAAAATGAGAATGTCAGTGACGTCCAATGTAGATAGGATTTTAGGTTACTTTTATGCATTTTTCGAAATTTTCATGTGTATTGGACAGATCAAGTTATTAAATGCTTTCACGTCGTCTTCTTTTTTTTTTTTGCTTGTGGTTTTTGTTCTCTTTCTTTTTTCGGATCCATACACGTCATCTTTTCCCAGTTTCTGGTTCCCAGAAACTTTCATTTTGTTTTTAATATCAGAGTAATTTTAGTGTTTGCCAGTACCACGAACGAGGACAAAATGTGTTTTTTTTTCTTTCTTTTTCCCACACATTTTTTTTTTACTTTGGGCCTTTTTGAACGTAAATAGCCCACTATTTGTTTTTTGAATAACACTCTCAAACAATAACAATAACAATGGTGTGAAAAAAGTTTCCTCGACGAATACGATTATCCGAACCCTACTCCTCCATGAAATGGTGTGCAACAAAATAGTCTAGTCCTTTGTTGGCTTTAGTTACCTTAAGAGAAGCCTTTAGATGTGCCACATTCATAATGACCCACACAAATGTGGGCTTTAACTCAGATTGTCATGATTTGATTTTGGACCTAATAGGTAAACTATTTAGACTTTTTTGGAAATGATCGCTCAAGATTTCAGGCTCAAGATTTCAGGATATTCCAAAGAGGAGTTCGACATACAATGCATCCTCTCTTTTTGTTTGATAAGTTGAAGAATATTATAATGTGGATTTCCTCAACAAGTGCTTGTTAACAGGTCGAGTTTCAATCACTTGGTCTGCATCTTTGCCGGCGTAACCAGCCTTGAAAATGTACGAACCAAGTTAATCTACAAGGCGTTCCCAAAAGTAGTAACAATTTCAAGGCGAAAAGTTAAAGATCTAAGAATAAAGCTCAAGATTCCTTTATAGGCGACGATGCTTCGTATAAGGTAAAATTATGTTGCATCTTTTTATTTTAGTAGTAGTTAAAAAAGGGTTTAAAATATAATAGTACCAAACAGAAAAAGATGCAAATTATGGATCAAAAGAGGAAATTTGGGATCTCTTTTTAATCTTTTACCTTAAAAGAGATCAATTTTTTTTAACCGTAGCCACATCAACTACGAAGAAATCTCGAGATTTGTTCTTAGTCGTCGGCTTATTTGGGGTCACACATGTAACCAGTGTGTTGGGATCATTATTTAAAGTAGTTAAAACTTATGTGGTCATTTTGGTATTAAAGAAAAGACTAGAGCTATAAGTGTTATGAAAAATTAATTTGAAGATACATTTAGTAATTTCTAATTTGATGACGGACCGAATTAGAAATTATTTCTCTATATAAATAGAGAGGTTATGGTCCCCGCAATAACCCTAACAAGAAATACACAAAATCTCTGCATCCCATCACCATAGACCTCCAGCCATTCATGATTTGTTGTGGAAGAACCATTCCCAAATTCAGAGCATAAATCATGGATCCAAAAGGTACGCTTCCGCTTATGCTCTTATTAATCAGAAATTGACATGCTATAGTGGTTTATAAGTAATTAAAACCTAACAATTGGTATCAGAGCACCATGTTCAGTTTCTGTTTAATAATCAAAGTTATTTTATGAATAAATCCGGATTTATTCTTTGGTGAAAAATTTAGATTATTGAATCTGATTTTTCCTCTAAAGTTTATGCCTACATTTGTATTCTGGGATCTGTGGTTTAATTTTAAATTTAGATCTGGTTTATACATGTTTAGATATGGTTTTAGGTAATTGTTCTAAAGAAAAACATGTTTAAAATTCTTGCTAATTCGGTTTTATTGCACGTATGGTTATGTGTTTTTGGAATTTTTTTTTTTAAAATGTTTTGGAATTTCTGGGAGCAGTTATCGGATTTAGTCTTTGATTTTTTTAAAATTTTATGCTCATAAAGTTTGTTTTTTTTCGAAACTCTGGAAAAAATTTTCAAAAATTTTGAGCAAAATTTCAGATCTGCTTTTAGCCTTGACGGCTGTATTTTTAGGGTTTACACTAAGGTTAAAGATAGGGACATTATCATAATTTTGAAAGTTTGTTAATGAAACTGTGCACTTCATATGATTAAGTCAAAGTGGGCCTAAGCTCGGGCCTAATTTTGACTAAAGTTGCATTTAAGCCCAAATTTCATTAAAGCTCATCACCAAGGATTCGAACCCAGGTCACGTAACATGGGCATCCCCTTCCTATTTTGTCTTCAACCATTCTACCACTGACGTATTCTTGCATACAGTGTCCTCAGACTTTATGTTTTATGTCTATGCAAGAATATAATTAAGTTTCTAATCAATAAATATTTTTGATTGTGCAAGTTTAATATTTGAAGTGAATTAATTGATGCAATATGTTGCCAAAGTAACCTCTATTGTGGATAATATTAAATGTTATGTGTGTATGTATATTCATGCGAATATTAAATCGATTCAAAGGTAGATTTTTATTTGGCCGAATAACATACATACCTGTGATGAACATGTGACAATTATCATGCATTATTGTCAATGTTTAATTGTTACAACAAGAATATCACTAGCAGTTAATATTACTGTTCAAAGACTTGATATCAATGTTGCACTTAGTATCTTGAGATGGGTTGTACAATTGTTTATTTTTATTTATTGATTTAATTCAGTTTAGTAGTAAATTACTAATAAAGATTGTTCTATTTTGCAGCAAATTTTACTGCAGTATCTGCAAACTTAAGTTCAATTCCAACACTTACTGGTTCCAACTATAAGAATGGAAAAGTAAAGTTTAGATTGTTCTTGGGTATATGGATCTTGACCTTGCGTTAAGGATAGAACAGCCTGCTTCTCCTACAGATACTAACACTGACGAGTATAAGGCAGTTCATGAGAAGTGGGAACGTTCTAATCGCATTGGTTTAACGATCATTTTGGACACCATTCCAGAAACCTTTAGAGGTAATGAGGAAATCTCAGATCTCAAACAGTTCCTTGCTGAGATGGACTTGCCTTTTGCGAGTAGCGATAAAGCAGAAATAAGTTCACTTCTGTACGTATCGCTTTAGTACCATGAGGTATCACAACAAAGGAAACATAAAGGAGTGCATTTTGGAAATGTCCAACATTTTTTCAAAACTCAAGACTCTCAAGATTGAGCTTCCATAAGAAGTGCTCATACATTTTGTCTTGAACTCTCTACCTCCTCAATTCAATCAATTGAAATCCAGTTACAACACACGTAAGGAGAAATGGGCTCTTAATGAGCTTATTTTATATTGTGTGAATGAGGAGGATATAATGATATAAGAAAGGTCTGAAAGTGCTCATATGGTTAACACCTCTAAGGGTCAGAGCAAAAGAAGGAAAATTGAGGTTGTTAAGAATGATGCAGCTAAAGGTCCATCTCAAAAGAAGCATACTAAGGATGAAGATACCTGCTTCTTTTGCAAGAAAACTGGACACATGAAGAAGGACTGCCAAAAGTACCATGCTTGGCATGGTAAGAAAGGTATGTTCCTTGCTATGGTGTGTTCTGAAGTGAACTTAATTGAAGTACCCATAAACACTTGGTGGTTAGACTCAGGTGCAACTACTAACATCAGTGTTTCATTACAAGGTTGCCTGAGCAACCGAAAACCAACTGAAGCTGAAAGACGCATTCATGTGGCTGATGGTTTTGCGGTGGATGTGGAGGCAATTGGGCATTTTAGATTGTTTTTTAGTACTGGCCATTTTTTGGATTTGAAAGACACTTTTGTTGTACCATCATTTAGACGGAATTTGGTTTCTAGTTCTTATTTAGACATATCTGGTTATTCTTGTCTAATTGAGCATAGAAAAGTTACTTGGTCTTTAAATTCAATTTTAATTGGAACTGGTACACTTATGAAAAATCACAGTTTTAATATGTTTGACACTGTAACTTCTCATGATGAAAGTGTTGAACCAAGGGGTACTAAACGAAAGTTTGAAAATGCAAGTTCAGGAACTCTGTGGCACAAACGCTTAGGTCACATTTCTAGAAATATAATTGAGCGACTTGTGTCAGAAGATATATTGAGTTCTATTGACTTCAAAAATTGTGATGTCTGTGTGGATTGAATTAAAGGAAAACAGACTAAACAGACGAAATTAGGTGCATATAGAGCTATGGAAGTCCTTGAGTTGATACATACAGATATTTGTGGACCATTCCCTACGGCTTCTTGGAACGGTCAACAATACATCATATCATTCATTGACGATTATTCTCGATATGCATACTTGTTTCTTATTCATGAAAAGTCAGAGTCTATAGACGTATTCAAGAAGTTTTTAAGGCTGAAGTTGAGAACCAACTTGAGTGAAGGATAAAGTCTGTCGGATCTGATCGTGGTGGTGAATATTACAGTCGGTATGACGGTTCAGGTGAACAACGTCCAAAGCCATTTGCCAGATATCTAGAGGAGTGTGGAATTGTTCCTCAATACACTATGCCTGGTTATCCCAATATGAATGGTATATCTGAAAGACGCAATCACACTTTTAAGAACATGGTAAGGAGTATGATTTGTCATTCTACCTTGCCTGAATCACTCTGGGAGAGGACTAAAGACTACAGCTTACATTCTTAATAGAGTACCAACTAAAGCAACTGCAAAGACACCTTATGAGCTTTAGACTGGCAGAAAACCTAGTCTGAAGCATTTTCACATTTGGGGATGTCCAGATGAGGCTAGGCCTTACAGGCTGTATGAAAAGAATTTGGACTCCAGAACTACGAGCAGTTACTTTGTTGGTTATTCAGAGCGATCTAGGAGCTATAAGTTTTATGATCCCACACAGAAGATTATTTTTGAGCCGGGAACAGCCACGTTCTTTGAGGATATTGAATTTGGGGGGAAAAATAAAGTTAAGGACATCATCTTTGAGGAAGAATCGGTTTCAGTTTCCAATCTGATTTATATAGTTGCTTTTGATAATGCAAATTTGGAACCTCAAGTTGATACAGAAACCCTTCCTCCAAATGAAGAT